AATTGTGAACTTGAGACAGGTAGTCGCAATTTGGACACCAATGATTCCCTGAATAATGATGACTCTGTAGATAAATGCTGATTTCAGATAAGAGGAGAAAGCGAGAATGAGAATTTTGAACAATTGAGAGGATCTGACAATTACAATGGACTAAGAGCACATTATAGACACGTGGACAGATAAACAGTCTGTGTCAGTTGTTGCAATGGAACAATATAAATACTGTACAGTTAAATGTTTTGTGTTGTCTTTTAATCTGTGATAATTATCCAATACAGTTTTGTTGTGACTAATTAGAATTGTACTTCTTGATTGGGTGTTGTGGAAGTTCTAGGCTATTTGAGATTGTTGGTAATTCGTTAGACCGTTTCGAATCCACAGACAATCATGTTAGTAATGAAAGTGAATGAAAGCGAAATACTTATTGAATTCCAGTAGAAATAACTAAAGTTTGATGAATATTTATCCGTGTCACGTTCGAATTTGTTGGTTTAGCAGGGGGCATGAATTAGTTTTTATGTGGATGTGGGATTTCACCTGTTCTTACTTGACTAATTGACATTCAGTGTCGGATACTGGATCAACTGAGTACGCTAACCCCTACGTCTTTAAATAATCAAAGCTGAGACCAATGTAAACTGTTGGATATAGCCCACCAATTGCTTAATCGTGGACCAAAGCAGAGAAGCATATTAACTATTCAGTATTTTAAGTCACTAAAATAAGTACGAACGAACCCTGATATTGTCTTGTTAAAGCCTGATAAAAGATCCGGTGTGGTTGCCAAGAACAAATATGAATGTAAAGGTAAGAAATTATCGATTCTCAGTGATGAAAGTAAATTTATGCCTGATGGTGAATTTGCAGGTATTAGCAAAGTAGAGGGAAGAATAAATCCAAACATAGTGAAGCAGCTACACATGAATATTATTGGTAGGGAGGAATTTAATTTCCTGGAACCTATTGGTTCTGAGTATGGTCATTTACATGGATTACGTAAAATGCACAAACCAAACATTTGTTTACGCCCAATTTTATCAGTGCGTCGATCACCTACACATAAGCGAGCTAAATTACTGGATCCTGTTGGAACACGTTTATATAAGTATTCTGTGAACGATTCTTTTGACTTGGTCGATCATTTATGTGATATTAGTATCAAGAGAAAGACAATGTGTTCATTTGACGTGAATTCCCTGTTCACAAATATACCTCTGAAAACGACTATTGATATATTATGTGACCACACTTCTTTGAACAGCCTTGAAAAATTACCTGTTCCTTTAAAAATTCTTAAAGATTTAGCACTATTATGTACTGACAACGTCCAGTTCATATTTGAAGGTGAATAGTTTTGCCAGATCGACTGGTTGCTATGGTTGGTCCATTAGACCATTAATAGCAGACGTGTTCATAACACATGTTGCAAATCTAGCTGAAGACCTAGTCGTAAACATGTGTGTTTATAAGAGATATGAAGATGACAGCTTAGTTATCTGTGAAAGAAAGGACGAAATGAATTGTTTATTGAGTAGACTTATTACTCTGCGAAATCACATCAGCCTTTGATGTGAAGAGGAGAAGAATGACCGGCTTCTCTTCTTAGATATGCTAACAAGTAGACGAGAAGATGGTTCAAGCAGACGATCCATCTTTCGAAAACCAACGTTGACGGGCCAATACCTTAGTCACAATAGTTACTGCCCAGTGCAATACAAATGAGGTTCGATGAGCGGTCTGTTTAATAGGATTATTCGTGTTTGCACAAACGACGCTATTGATGACGACGTTAGATTGTTAAACAAAACATTAGTGGAAACTGGCTATCCCTCAAAATTCATAAATAGATGGAAAGGTCACGGTATACTGAGGCCTACTATAACCTTGGCAGAAAGGAACCTGTCTACATCATTTTTCGGTTTGGAGGTGATTCAAATAGCTTTTAACTGAAACAAAGGCTTAAATAAGTTGTTAACAGAACGTATTACGCAGCAAAGGTCTTTATGAAAGAGAAAACAATGTCCATGTTTCAGCGAAAACGTAAAACACACGGAAAGGATTGCGTCACATGCCACTGTGTTTATCTATTTGAATGTGTGTGTGGTCACATATACATGTGGAGGAGTAATCGTGATCTCCAAATTAGGGTGTGCGAACATGTACCTAAGTGGTTGCAAAAACGAATAAAATCAAGTGATCCAATAAGAGTAGATGATGAACATCCATTCATGGAGGAAATTCACTGAGTAAGTTATTATTCGTAATAATAATACTAATAACAATACCACTATTGCTGCTATTAGAACTACTGCTATTTCAAAAACTACTACTGACAATACTACTCCGACGACTACTACTACTACTAATACTAATACTACTACTACTACCATTACTAATAATAATACTACTATTACTATTTCTGCTACTAGTACTACTACTAAAATTAGCGTATTAACTAATCGTCGGTCACCAGCTACTATGGGACTGCATCTCCTGACGTCGCCCCACTGTCTTTTGGACCAGACTTCTAGGTCGAAGGCTCCGGGTATTTCTCCTCTAATAAAAGCGCCTGCTTCGGTTTGGTCACCCTGACAGTATTTAACTCCATAAGCAGATCGGATGATGAATTGTGAGCACTTATATTTGGCGCTTCCTTGTACCAATATTGATGTGTGAGCGAGGATGATGGTGATTGCTTATTTGTTTAGTCAGACATGCAGATCATCTGTCAGGTGTTAGATGAGTTATATATTTCCCTTTCATTATTTATTATGATTTATTGTTCATTGTTGTTGGATTGTGTCGGGTTTTGATGAGGAAATATATTTACGCTCTAGTCAGGCTAATTACGTGCTCTTGATCTGAGTTGTATTGACGTCCTTTAGAATAGACACTGGGAGGGAGTCTAGAGTAGATATTCGTCTAAGATAAATTAGGATCCCACTAGTGTAGACGGGGAAAACCGAGTGTTACAACAAATATTTATATCAATGGTTAAGATCATGAGTCAGTTGATGCTAGACCACTATGGAAAACCTGGAAGCACTGGACGGCCGTTTCGTCCTATTGTGGGACTCCTCAGCAATGAGCATCCACGATCCTGCCAGCGAGATTCGAACCCAGGGCCTTCAGACTCGCACTCGGACGCTTAACCTCTAGACCACTGATTCGGCATCCAACGATATTAATGTCTAACCTCAAACATTCCACGAAATTGCGTGACCACCTTCCATTGTAGTGAGGTAGATATGTCTCTACCCGACACGGATTAGCTCCACTGGTCAAGGCTTCTCAATAGAACTACAAGAATTTCCTCACGAAGCTAATCACTAGTGAGCACATCGTAATTATCAGTATAGAGTTGTGGAGATTATGATCTAATTATCTCAATCAAAAACTTAATAATCTCCACAACCCTATACTGATAATTTGTGTTTTTATGAATTACTATGTAAACTAGTAACATATTGCATTTATGTATTGCAATGGACTGTTAATCTGTTACATTTTTATTTTTATATGAAGTTTTACTCTGTTTCATTACTCATTATACCATTTTTCACTTTTTCATTATTTAGTTTCTATTCTGTATGTTAATCATTGAAACATTGTTTATTCTGAACAGTTTCTATGTTCCCAGTGAATAATAATGGATTACTTTCGTTAATTGCTATAAGGTGTTTCAGACAAGCTTGCGATGGACTCCAGTCTATAGTTGTTTAATCGGTTTTACATTCTGTCCTTACTCACTTCCCTTCCATTCTATGCGTATTGTTTTAGACTACTTATTTACAATCAGTAAATAGTTGTATTTCCAGAAATTTTTAAACTTATGTTGTAACGCAACTTTGTCGTGTAATATTCTGAAATATTTACATATACTTACAACATTTATTGTACTCATTATGATAACTACTTTATATCAATCACTCTATAAGTTATCTACAGTTCTGTGCATTTGTTTAAACCCAATGGTTTTCATAATGTATGCTCTTGGTTCAGGTTTTGCTCGTTGATAAACTGTTACCAAGTTTAGACACAGCTATCAGCTGTCTTTTGCATTATCGCAGACTTTTTTTATTTCATACAAAAAGACGCATTAAACGCCACAGACACCTCACAAGTTGAGGTTTGTAAATAAATTTTGTATATTATTCAATAAAGAACCGTTATTTTAGACAAATCGTTGTTTTGCGAACTTCGATCATGAACGTATCTCAATTGGGTGACTTGGACGCTTCGATAAACTTAATAATAGTACACGTTATCCTTTTAATCTATTTCAATTTATTACAAGACGGAATTTGTTTTCGGTTGTGCCATTAAGAGAGTTTATGACACATAGACATCTTATGATTCCAGGTCGGTAAATTCTATTGCTAGTGGTGTTGTCTACAGTAATGCAATTTTCCAGACAAATTAGAAACTTCACACATCACGTGAATTTTGAGTTAATACTCTTGAAAGGATCCTGTATAGGGACTAATGTATGATCGGAACAACAATTCTTAAATCTGATTAAACTCAATTTTATGTAATCCGAACGTGATCTTGTGTCTCTAACAAGCTTTCCACAGTAAGTCAAAGGTATGTATTTAACAATATATAATACCCAGAAAGGGGTTTTGTGGATATTATAGTGATTTAATACTTGAATTCATGAACCAATTAAAGCTAAACTATCACGGAAAACCTGGAAACATTGGACGGCTTCAAGAGGTATTTCCTGGAATTCTAGTGATTAGCTGTGACCAGTGAAGTTCAACCGGCTCTATTGTAAGATAATAACTCACTGAAGACAATGATGGACTGTGGTGCAATTCTATGGATTGGTTGAAGTTAGACAGTATCAGCGTCAAATGCCGGCTCAGTGTCCCATAGGGTTTAGCATTCGAGGGTCCTAGGTTCGGATTTCACGAGTAGGGTCGTGGATATGCATTGCTGAGGAGTCCCATACTAGGAAGGAATGCTCTTCCAGTGCTTCTAGGTTCCACATAAATTCAACTATTATATAAATAATACACATAAATAAATAGTTTCTCATTAAAAACAAAGTGCATTTTATAAGAAACAAAAAACAACAAATTACCACAATTTTCATCCATTATAACACTACTTCTACAACCTTCCGATTCTGCATCAAAACCATTTTGATAATATATATTTTCATTTAATGGTGTTACTGTTGTAATAGCTGAGTAATTATTTGTATCTATAATGAAAAAAAATAAACCATGACTAACTATAAAATGAGGTCTAATATACTTCAAAAGGCAGTCAACAACAAAAAACTGATGAGCACTATTGATTGATTGATTGATGAAATTTATAATTAATATCTACCTAGTGATCAAATGATAAACATGAAATCTGAATACTATTAGAAAGAAAGAAAGAATTGTTAAGAACCATAGTATGTAGGGGTCATTCAGTCAGTCAGTCGGTCAGCTACAAAGTAGGACCAGGCACATATATGCATCGGTATAAGTTGCCATACCTCATTAACACAACAAGATGGACAGTGGATTCATAAAAGCAGTTAATTCAATGGTGATAATATATAAAAGAAAGATTGCAATAAGGATATAGTACAGGAAGAAGGAATTATTTCGTAGAAAGAAAGATATGAAGCGATTTTAATCTCTTAGTTTAAGGGAAGACACAGAGTGTATACACCGACGCCACTGTGGTCGATTCTGAGCCATGTCACCAAGAGTCTCCAATCACTAGTTACGATAGTCACACGGACCCCAACCAAGTAGTCTGCACCTACCAACATGGCTCAGACTAGAAGTTAGTGACTTCAAGCACTGATGCCACGTTTTGGTTTGGCCGCCCCTAAGCCTCTTCCAACCATCCCGAACACCGGTTAGCATTGCACGTCGTGGTAATCGGTGTTCAGGCATACGTAAAACGTGACCCAACCATCTCAGTCGATGAAGATTCACAACCTCATCAACTGATTTACCATCATTTCCTAATACCCTGCATCTAACCTCACTATTACTTACCCGGTGATCCCAGCAGACGAGAGCAATATTTCTAAGACAACTGTGGTCAAATACTAGTAGCTTACGAGTGTCTTCTACTCTTAATGGCCATGTTTCGCTGCCAGTGGTTTTTAAATCATGATGATAGATGTAGATGGATAACCGCTATTAGTGGTTAGAGATCTTCGGTATTATGGCTTAGAATCCATCAAAATTATGCAGATGAATTCACTCTTTATCTTTCTGTATACCAATATACCTTCAAACATACCTTCTAGAACCCTATTCCCCAGGTTTAGTTATTCTCATCGTCATTCCTATGACATTATTTAAAATTATTTGTTATACATCTTGTTAGTTTCATCTTATCGTGTTAATTTGGCATGGCTACTTAAAATACAATTGAAAAGCATATGAAACTCAAAATAACTATCTGCAAGTCAACATCAAAGTTAGAATCTTCAATACGAACGTCAAGACAATTCTACTGTATGAAGCTGAAACTTGGAGAACTACTACAACCATCATCAAAAAGTACAAGAATTTGTGAACATTTGTCTACACAAAATACTCAATGTTCGTTGATCGGATAACATCATCAACAGTCTACTGTAAGAGAGAACATACCAGCTCCCAGTTGAAGAGGGAATTAGGAAAAGATGTTGGAGTGGATAGAACATAGATTGAGGAAATCATCAAACTGCATTTTGAGGCAGGTGCTTACTTGGAGTAATGATGGGAAACGGGAAAGAGGAGGCCAAAGAACTCATTACATTGGGAAATAGAAGCAGATATGAAAAGGATGAATAACACCGGGAAAAGCTGGAAAGGATTGCCCAGGACAGAGTTGGTTGAAGAGTGCTAGTAGGCGGCCAACGCTGATCCATGAGAGGTAATAGGCGCAAGTAAGTAACTCGGGTCAACGCACATTTTCATCAGGTTTTACTTTAATTACGACTGACTGGTCACCTTTGATTTAATGTTTTCGCAAATGTAATTAAAACCGAGTTACGCATGGATAGTAAAATTATGAAACTGCTCAGTTGTATTTTTCTGTACACCAATCGTCTAAAGAACATATCTACAAATCTTAAACAGACACAACAAATCTACCTAAATGATCTTCTAACAACTAATTCCTGCATAAAACGTAGTTCAATTTTAAGCAAGAGAAACAAACAGAAAACATAAAGATGAGTTCTATTTCGATTTATTTATCTATTTATTTGGACACATAAATATTGATACAAAGGGGCACCGAATATATATGCACCACAAAAGTCGCTTGATTTGTGTATGGGCTGTGATAGTCTCCGGGTACCCAGACCGAAGCAGGTGGTTTTCTTAGGGGGACACACCATGAGCCTTTAAATTAGAGGTCACTTTTCGTCCTCTCAATTTCGTGAACAATAGTAATACCGCCAGAAGGCAGTGAGTAGGACTTCTCTGGCAGTAACTGTATACGCGTAGTTATGTGAGAGTATTTCGAGAGGGAGACCGGACTCTCCCCACCCTCGGCCGTACCAGGGCATTTGGGGTTATCAGAATTATGTGATATATTTGTGCAATGCATTTCCAACAATGTGATCACATATATCTTTATTTCCGCTTACCTTTTAATTTGTTTAGTTGACTTATTTTTCATATTAAATGTCTTTACAAGTATATGTTCAGTCAGATTGTTCGAAATGTATTACACAAATGTATTACATAATTTGGATAACTTTCATCTTCTCATTGCATTATCGAAATTTATCAAAGGGATTGATGGTTATGTATTTTATTATAATCACAGAAGGGTTTTTGTGAATATTATAGTAATTTAGTAGTTGAATTCATGAGTAAATTGAATTGGAGAGATCAATATTCACTCTACCCTCGCATTCGTCATCCTGGTGATTCATGCATTAAGAAGACTAATATTCAATCGACCCATGAACTAAATTATTGAATTACTAAGAACACCACAAATCTCCCTCTCTGATTATAATAATCGTATACCCGACAGTGACTATCTCCAAGAGGTATTTCCTGGAGTTCTATTGAGAAGCCATGATACCTTTCTTATCTTCTAAATACAGAGTCTTATTTCGGGATTGGTTTAAATCTGTATCTATTTGAATAACACCATGATAATCTAGCTTCAAATGGCTCATGATCTCAACTATTGAAATTACAACAATCTCCACAAAACCCCTTCTGATACTAATCGACATATGCTCACTAGTGACTGGCTTCAAGAGGTATTTCATGGAGTTCTAGTGAAAAGCAGTGACAAGTGGAGTTCAACCTGATCTGCTGTGAGGCAGTAATTCACTGAAGATAATGATGAACGGTGGCCCAATTTCGTGGATTGGTTGAAGTTAGACAATAACGCCGTTGGATACCTGATCAGTGGTCTAGAGGTTAAGCGCTCGTGTGCGAGACCGATAGGTCCTGGGTTGGAATCTTGAGGGGCAGGATTGTGGAGGAGTTTCATAGTAGGACCATGGTGGTCTAGCTTCAATTGACTCATGAATTCAACTAATAAATTATGTTGACAAATTCCTTCAAACAACCGAACATCAGGATGTAAACGTTGGATATTTCAAAGCTGAAATTACAATTTATATTCCATGGAATTAAATTCAAATGACATAAATAGAATAATTTATTGTTACCATATCCATGTTCATCATATCCAACTTGAACATAGTAATAAAGTTAATCTATGATAGATAAAAATTAAATGGAATGATATGTCCCTATCATTTACAGTTGGGAGGAAAAACCAGACTCACACGTCCTCGTCGTGCCTCATAACTAATGGGACTCAGTCCCATGAACTAACGTGAGCGGTAACCCAGATGGTAGAGATTGGACTGATCACCCACTTGACTGATACCCACAAAGAATCACAGGACAATTACTCCAGGATCGAAAAACGACAAAACTTTCACAAAAATGGTGCACGCAATGTACGGGGATGCTATCTACGGGGAAAACTCCAATCGATTGCAAAAACAACTATTCTAGCCCCAGTAGTTGTGCCGTTCTTCGATGTGGCCTATTTATCTTCAAAAGGGCCTACTAGGCTTTACCAACTTGTTTGACTAGAAGGGGGTGGCATCATTTAAAGTTAGATTAGGTATATATTCTAATTAAACTGAAAATTGCACATCATATATATTTATATATATTAAAACTAACCTTGTGCTGATGAAAGTGCACCATCTACAATATAGCATATTTCTTCTGGTTCATTAAAATTATTCAAAGGTGATTGAGACAAGTCTTTTGAACATGTTGACGGTTGAACTGTGGAAATTTCCTGTTTAGGTATATTATTATTTGTGTGTAAATAAGAATCCGTTTCTATAGTATCCAATGCAGATGTAGCTTGTAATGAAGATAAATCATGTTGATTATCCTCTAAAGGTGACTGTAATTCGTCGTCATTATTATTATTATTTTCATCTAATTCCTTCACAAGTCTACAGTTACTATGCACTGGAGAATTCGCCAAAGTTTCCTTGAATTCAAATTACAAAGTTGTATATATAAAAATTAGTTTGGTTCATTTGTAGAACTATACAGCTACATAATGAAATAGCCAAGTCAACAATTAAAGCAAATGTCCAAAGCAAAACGACAAATAAAAGCCCATGATGAAAAAACATCTTTAAATTAACGAAATCTTTTAAAGCCAATCAATTGAGTGGTAATTTTATGAATGCTATTATCATCAGTCAGTCAGTCAGCAACAACATAGAACTTCGTACGTACGCACATCAGTTCGAGTTGCCATACAACATTACCACACAGATACAATTCTCGATTGAAATGCCATAGTGGTAGAGGTACTAAAAGTATAAGCAGTAATCGGAAACATTAGGGTTATTCAAGGAGTATAATTCAGTGAAATAAATTTGGAAAGAGAAAAAGAAAAGGGACATGAAGAATTCAGAAGATTAGAAATTTGGAAGAACAAAAAGAGTGGATGCACCTGTGCCATTGCAAATGATTTTGGACCATGTCATTCAGGGTCTCTAATCATCGGTTGCTATCGTATCGCGGATCCCAATCAGGTAGTCTACGCTTACCAACATGGCTCAGTCCACTTGTCAGTGATTTCATGGATTTGTGCCATGTTTTGGTCTGGTCGCATCTAGCTTTCTTCCAACCTACTCCTACACCATGAAACAACATATGTCAGGGCAGTCGGTGATTGGGAATACGTAACACATGTCCCAGTCATCTCAACTGATGAAGTTTTACTAACTCGTCAATTGATTTGCCATCCTTAATTAGTACCCATTTCCTAATAACTGCATTAATTACTCGATAGTCCCAGGATATACGAGCAATGTTTTGAAGACACCTATGATCGAATACTAGTAACCTACGAATATCCTCTACTCTTATCGGTCACCCCATACTGTTAATTACCATGTTTCCACAAGTGTTAATAGGTTGATGAGGAAATTCTCGGAATTCTACTAAGAAACCAAAACTAGTAGAGTTAGTCCATATCAGATAGAGACATATATCTACCTCTGACAATGAAAGATAATTGCACAATTTCATGAATTGATTAAAAATTCAACATTAATATCACTGAACCCCTACTCAATGATTTAAAAGTTAAGCATTCACATACATAACCCAAAGTCCTCGGTTCGAATCTCATATATGGAAAATAGGAAACTTACAATCAATATATTTTAATTAAAAATATAATCAATAAATTATGGTAAAAACAAATGAACTCCAAACATTACCTGCTCATTATGATCATGCTTTATATCACCATTATTATTATTATTATTCATTATATCATTGGTAATCAATTGATTATTGATATTGATTGATTTCAATGTTTTTATTGATTGATTATATGATTTAGAGAATTGATTGATAAACCAATCATTATTCATCGATATCATTGTATTTGATCCATTTCTATTCTGATCTATATTATGTAATAGATTATTATTATTATTATTATTATTATGATTGAAATACTTTCCAGTTCTTGTTTTAATCATATCAATATGATGATGTAATTCAATGACTGATTGACTTTTATTAAAATTGAATTTTTCTATATTCTCATTATCATTTTCATCATTTAAACTAAATTCACTACTATTTGTATTCATATTCGATTTGATATGATCTTGATCCAATAAATCAATATTGAAATCATTTAATGATGATTGATAATGATCAATAAAATGATTAATTTGATTCATTGAA